ACGTAACACTTTGTCAACACAACGACTATCATAGATCTATACCATTAAGCCTCCAAGATCCAGCAAAATATAAAACACAGAAGATTTCGGAGGATGGATGCATCGTCAACCAAACAGCGTCGGCATTCATTCACCTAGACGAGATTAGGCGTAAAACAGTAATCATTTGTGAAACGGGATATCTCGATACTTTTGCAAAATGTGGAAATGGAAGATATCGAAAGACCATTACAGTTCAGGCAGAAGAAGGTAAGAGCCACTGATAACATTGAGTTCTGTTAGGTAGGAGGAACTGTAAACATTGGAATTGGGGGGGGGGGGGGGTGGGGGGTGGATGGTGTAAGTTTTTGTAAGATTCTTTTCTATTATTCATGCATACGATAATTTTTATATTATGGTTTATTTTTACTTTACAAGAGTTAAACACTATCTATGGACCATTTGTCGTTAATAAAGATGAAAAAGGAGAAAAATCACTCCTTTCAATGACGTGCTATACGACAACTGAAACATACCATGCAGAAACAACTCAGGTTATAACATGTCTTTAACTTGCATTCTTAAGCATACTTTCATAAAATCATCTCGACTTAATATCTAAAAATGAAAAAAATCAATCAATAAATAGATCTAATGATAAAGTAAGCATATGCATGTGAACTAAAGTGGTTGTAAAAGATACTGATAAATGATTTCAATATTAATAGTTTTAAACATTTTGATTTTTTCAGCATATCAGGTGGTGCATTAAAACAGGAAACAACAAAAACTTTAAACTTCTTCCTTTGCAAGAACAACCGAATGAGGAAATTTTCAAGACATCACTTGGAATAAAATTGAAGAGCAATGCTCTTTACCAATTGTCAAAGAACGTTAGAAATGTAGAAATTATCTGCGAAACTAACTATTCCAGTGAATGTGGATCTGGAACCGTTAGAGAAAGAGTTTTCCTAAACAATGACCCAAAGAGTTACAAATGTAAGTTACATAGAATTTTTTGTGGTCTTACTTCTAGCATGTTGGAGACCACACGCTTTTGTCTTGTATTAACAAACAGAACAGGTGACTAACAAATGCTTCTTTCTTTCACCAAATCAAAGGGAAAAGTAGCCCAAATCCGGGTTCAAAGCAATTTTATTTCGCAATCGGTGGAATGGTTATAGGGGCAACACTCATCTTTTTGGCAGTCCTCATTTTTATGAAAAATTGGAAAAAGGGTGGCAACGAAGGTATGTTTTCATTTACTTTAGTTCCAGAAAAATACTTATACATAAAATACAATGCACCTACAATGCTAGTAATTGCTTCTTAGATGCTGACATAGTAAAGTTAAATCAAACAGAAGATAAGTTGCGCATGATTTCAATAAAATTTTGTTCATCATATAGTATGACCCCCTCATTATGACCCTGTATGAGTGTGATTATGACCCCTGGGTCGAGGCCTCTGCTGAAGGATTGGTAGTCCCGGAGGGTCTTTACAGCCTTAGCGAAGTACTTCGGTACTAGCTTGAAAATACGGATATATATTTAATTGCTGTGGTAAAATTTAGAAATTTATTTTAAAATTAAGGATTATCTCCGTAATGCATGGCTCTGATCTATCTACGTATTTGGCTCCTGTCTTTGGCATCCCCTTTTTTCAGAACTTCAAAGTTTATATATATATATATATATATATATATATATATATATATATATATATATATATATATATATATATATATATATATATATATCGAATTTCCAACGTTTAGGCATAAGCATCACTGAAGAGACATAATTTGTCGAAATGCGCATCTGATGCATCAAAATTGGTACCTAATATGATTTACATAGTACATAGTTTTTTTTCAACAAGTAAATAATTATCATGTTCAGTTTTAACCAAAATACGTAAGTAAAATACTATTGGTCCTATTATTTGTGCTGGGATTAATGGTTCACCTTCTGTTAACATTATAATATTAGCATTGCAAACTTGCAAACCATATATACTTTTTTTCAGAAACGTATAGTGGAGACTGTTCGGCGTAAGTAGCAATTCATCTTTTTGATCTTGAGATGTAACATGTTATATATTATTAGCTCACCTGAGCTGAAAGCTCAAGTGAGCTTTTCTGATCACCCATTGTCCGTCTTCTGTCCGTCTGTCTGTCAGTCCGTCTGTAAACTTTTCACAGTTTCAACTTATTCTCAAGAACCACTGGGCCAATTTTAACCAAACTTGGTACAAAGCATTTTAGGGTGAAGGGAAGTATAAATTATTAATATGAAGGGCCAAGTCCTTTTCAAAGGGGATATAATCAAGAAAAGACAAAAATAGGGTGGGGTCATTAAAATATCTTCTTCTCAAGAACCACTGGGCCAGAAAAGCTGAAACTTATGTGGAAGCACCCTGGGGATGTGTAGATTCTAAATTGTTCAAATAGTGACCCCCGGGGGTAGGGTGGGGCCACAATAGGGAATCCCAGTTTTACATTGAAATATGCAGAAAAAAATCTTTAAAAATCTTCTTCTCAAGAATCACTGGGCCAGAAAAGCTAAAACGTATCTGGAAGCATCCTGGTGTAGTGTAGATTCTAAATTGTTCAAATAGTGACCCCCGGGGGTAGGGTGGGCCACAATAGGGAATCCAAGTTTTACATTGAAATATGCAGAAAAAAATCTTTTAAAATCTTCTCAAGAACGACTGGGCCAGAAAAGCTGAAACTTATCTGGAAGCATCCTGGTGTAGTGTACAAATCATGACCCCCAGGGGTAGGGCGGGGCCACAATAGGGAATCCAAGTTTTACATTGAAATATGCAGAAAAAATCTTTAAAACTCTTCTCAAGAACGACTGGGCCAGAAAAGCTGAAACTTATGTGGAAGCATCCTGGGGTAGTGTAGATTCTAATTGTTCAAATCATGTCCCATGGGGAGGGCGGGGCCAAAATAAGTACTACAAGTGGGGGAATAAGGTGAAAAACAGCAAGGCCAAAGTAACTCAGGTAAGCGTTGTGGCCCATGGGCCTCTTGTTACATAGCGTATACAATAAAGATATTATAGGAGTTAAAATATTAATTAGAAAAGAATTAAACAAAACACGATAATGGCATGGAAGTAAAAATGAATTCTGCCCATAAATGCATGAAAATGGCCTTCGCAAATTTTAAAATCATTAACATTTTGTCCTGATCCCGTTGTTCAGTTATAGACATACAATGTAATTTATAGATTATAAACATATTTCAAGTAATATGTTATTTCAGTACTACAGAAGTTCCCCAATGTAATAATCTAATAAAACCCAGTTCAAAAGAATCTGAGATTCCAGCACGAACTGTTAATCAACAGCAGTGTAAAGAAGAATCAAATGAAGAAAAGATGTTACCAAGAGAAGAAAATTCAACTGCAATGTCCAATGTCCGAGTCCAGTGTGATTCTATGTACTCACACATTAATGCCGATATCTATGAATTGGTAAATCACAACAATACGGAAGATCACACGTATGAAAAACAGACTGTGATTATGAAAAAATTGAAGCAAATGGACAATGCTGACTGACAACGAGAAAAAAATGGTATTTTATTGAATGAAAATTTTTATAGATGGATGAAATGTTTATCCGTTGGTCTGCTCGTTTGTTACTTAAAAAATTGTCAAAGTATATAATGGGGTTAAAACGCTTTCTTTCGATATCAGTGTTCCTTTTACAATGCTCGGTCTATTTACTAGTTACTGTTTCTTCTTTCCAATCCAGAATTTTTACCTTTCTTTCTGGCTTGAAAAAAGATGTTTAATCACCTGTAACGATCTGACTTAATTACATTTTGTCCATAAACAATTTCAAAAGTAAACGATCTCTGTTTTGCTCTTTGGTAAGAACATGTGGAATCCACTTAGCTTGCACAAATTTCTGGTACCTTGATTTAAATTCTAAAATGGTATAATACTATTTATTGATATTAATGGGGTTTTTCTTAGGCCATGAGACATGTATCGATTTTGAGAAGATCATGAATTTTAAGAACGTTTCTTTCTGGTGAGAACACTTTGCCTTGTGGTTTTCCACTATGTTTGTTGTCCGAAACACTTGTTCTATCACGCTTTGATTTGCTCACCTATCAGTAAGCTCTCTTTTTGAAATGACCAACACACCATGTAACAATTTCATTTCGCTTTAGACTAAGGATACAACGAAAAAGACTAAATTTTGCATGGTTTGAGGAATCACTACGGGTTCGTGGGGATTTGATTTCGTGGATGAAATATTGTCGAGTATTCATGAATATGACATTTTACATTTCGTGGTGGACATGAATTTGTGGGTCTCTTTATACCTTGAAAAAAAATGAAAATTAAACCCCTCACGAACATTAGTGATTTCATGGTATATCTTCTAATTTCAAGTAACCCAAGACTTTAGGTATACTCATAATTGATGTCCAGTGTATTCAAATAAGTCAATTGCAATCGTTAGTTTACTACGTGTTTTGTTCAAAATCTCGTCACAGTGTAAATAAAAGGTATATTTATTTCTGAAGGATTAAAATTACAATCGGCTGAACTAATTGATATTGGAAAAAATAAAGAACAAAAGATACTGAATACTCTTTGTATGTACAAAGATCTCTGAATTTGTTAGAATGTCACTCCATGTCAATTTTTTTTTCCTTCTTGTTCATTATTATTATTTAATTCTTATTCAATACCATGCATGTTATCATTGTTATATATATATATATATATATATATATATATATATATATATATATATATATATATATATATATATATATATATATATATATATATATATATATATATATATTCCCTGTCTTGTATATTATGAATGTTTTCTACGCACATGTATATTAGTATTTTCTGTTTTTGATGTATATATCTCATTCTTAAAATAAACATTTTGCAATCACTTGAAAATGTATGTGTCTGTACGTCCTAATACGAAAAAATATAGTCTGAATTTTCTTTCATTTATTTCGGATGCTTACGTACATTTGTAAGATTTTATATAAGATATACAGGTAAGAATTTACGTTTGGAAAAAAGGCATGCATTCACTTGTTTATATCATTATATATTCAAACAACCAGTAAGATATCATATGAAGTAATGAAACAAGAGTTGTCTTTCTTTTCTTACAACAGTAATACTAAAGTTTAAAGCTGACGATTAATTTGTGATTGTGTTCCAGTTTTGCGTTCTCTTTGTAGCATTCTGCAAGAACCACTCAAGGAAAGGCCTACACCCCTAAAAGAATATTTATAACTTGTAATAAAATTTAATCTTTTGTTCATTTGCATAAAATGAATATTGCTTAAAGTGATTTACAAGTAAAATTTTCTCTTTAATATATTCACTTTTTTTAAAATTATAAATCGATTAATAATTATGCAAAGAATAAGTAAATCAAATTATATCTATGAAAGCAGACACGTCTCTCAATTGAATTCTGACACATTTGTTCTTCAAGTTCAAGTTCAATTTATCCACCCAAACCGAAATATCGGCACATGGGCTTCATTAATAACATATATACATTATATACAATCTGGACAGAGTACATATACAAAACAAAAAAAATGTCAGATGATTGAAAAAGAAAATAAATAAATAAGAGAGTGGAAAATATATCAAGGAGGACAGGCAGCATCATATTTTTTTTAGGATAAACATACATAGTTTTTACAGAATTTTTTCGTTTTAAGTTGACATTAGTTCCATGAATTTAATAACAATCGGTCTGTGGGAATAATAATTGTCTAGGTAATTTTTTCTTACATTAGCTAAAGTTTTACATTCTAAGATATAATGAAACTCTTCAGCAGTTTGAGTATTATTACAATGTGTACAGATTCTATCACACAGTGGTATACCATACCATCTTTCAGTCTCTACTGGATGATGATTTGCAGTTCTAAATTTTATGAATATTTTTTTCTAAATTTAGGAGATAACATATCAATATAATATTCAGATCCAAAGTTTTGTTTTAAGATTCTGTAAATCTGTCCTTTTGAAGAATTATTTACGCCACTAGACCACTTTTGAATAAACTGATCTTGTAATATTGTTTTACAGTAGCAGTTATCCATTTATAATTCATATTGACACCCTGTTCAAAAAGAGAGAATACGTACGCGCAATTCCTAAAGCAGTCGTTTCTGTATGTAATAAAATCGCTTCCACAAACTGGTCTGGGAATAGCATTACACATCATCAAACATTCACAGGTTCCATCTTGTCTCTTGGGAACGCCTCTGAAACATTTTAAGTTCGAAAGAAAAAATTGCAAAATGAAAATCAAAAAGTTTATACATAATTTCTCTCTCTCTCTCTGTGTGTGTGTGTGTGTGTGTGTGTGTGTGTGCGTGTTGCAACGCTTTGTGAAATACCACGGTTTATGATGACGTTCTTCGACTTCACATAATTATCGATATGCACAACATCTATTCAGACTACTTTAAACTATTTTCCCAAAACTCTCTAAGAAGCTCGAAGTCCTTAAATATGATGTTTATGGTATTTATTATATTTTGTAAACCGTAAGATGCTTTGTATTGATAGAGTAGCAATTTTGTAAATTATTGGGCTTTCAGGTCTTTTTACTTTAAATTCAATCTTTGTCGTACTGTCAAAAAATCAGGTTCAATCTTTTTGAACAATTAAAGGAGGGTCGTATATAACGTCATGCTATCAACTGCCTTCCTCAGAGAGAGAGCAATGAAGATGGTTGTCTTTGAAAAATTTATATTAAGCATAATAATTAAACTTTTCCTTAACTATTGGACATAATTACGTAGTAATCTATAATTAAAAATTGATCTTTCAAGAAAATCACTTTTTCATTGTTTTACATTTTTAAAATATGTTTCATTGAAATCAGACCTTTGAAATTATATTGATAAAAAAATTAAGCTGGGGACTTAGAGAGTGCAATATAATTGCTGATAGGCATTAAAAGTTTATTATCACTTACCAACTTGATAAAAGACCCTCTTTTCAAAATCTGAGAACAATCAATCTTTAGATAATTTATGCGCTTCATGCTTATTTTTTTTATTTATTTATTACTATTTAACCATAGTTTCAAATCCATCTTATTATTAAAAACATAAAAAGCAACTAAGGAATGAATATCAGGTGTTTTTTTTATCTGTTGATTCTAATTTTTGGAGTATACCGCATAGCGGGAATTTTAGCAGGGTACGACATGTAACTTTGGTTTATTTTAGCGGTTTTGAACAACCCGCTCGAATTTTAATCGCTAAATTTGCACTCTTGTGTACATGTACTGAATAAAAGAAAATTTACTTTGATCAGCTTCTTGTTAAACATCTTAACTTTCAAATGGTATTGATTTTTACATAATCCCTTGCCTAAATCGTATTCAAAAATTTCCTGCAACGTCGTGGAACTCTGTCTCCGCCAAAAAAATTCTCTTGGCATACCTTTGGACAAGCAAAAGGCCAAATTTTACACCCTCTAAAGAAACCCGCTTTGTGGTATGATACTTACGCACAGTTCATAACACATTCATTGATGTACGTTTGTCCGTCTACACCACACACACTTTTCTTTGTCAGTGGACATTGACATGGACAAAGATAATTCATCTTCATATCTTTATCCCTGGAATAAAAATTTATCTTATTTTACATAATAATCAGACCAAGCGACATTAAGTTCAACTTTCAATTTACTTGAGTCAAGAATACCATTTCTATTTACGCAGGTAAAAGCATATGATAAGCTGTAAAATGTATAATATTTAGTTGAGTGCCATTACAAGATCTTTTTGTAATATAATATAGGACCTTGTAATATGTTAATCTTATTTTAATCCCTGTTAAACATGAAAGATTGCATCTTTCTCCCCTTCCTTTTAGAATATCCACATACTTTATTATTGGGTTCCTATTCCATACCTACACTGTAGAAAACACTTGTTTGTATAGGTTTTTCCGTCTGCTCCACAAACAGGGTCATAAAAACGGGTACATTTACAATGACAAAATCCATCATGCTTCTTTAATACCCCACTGAAAAATAAGATAGTAGTCATACTATCGTACATCTCACTATTCACCAGTTCGAGGAATGAAGATAAAATATCTAATGAAAGAAACTGCCAAGGATAAGAAGTTCCTTGAGTGAAACAAACTCTTACACGCAATATCGTATGCAGTCATTGGAATAGGTTTTTCCATCCGCACCACAAACGGGAGAAAATTCAGATCTACATCCACAAGGTTGCTCTGAAATGAAAAAGTAACGTGTTGCCACTAGATGGATGAGTGTTCGCAGAAATTATTAAGAACTTTTAATGATACATTTATCCAAAATGTTAGAGTATTAACATACATTATGGTTCAACATGACTATTTTATTTAATGACAATACCCCCATTTTCTAATGATACATGCAGATTTCATGGATAGCATCCAATTTATTTTATACATTTCCTGTTGTCTGCTGTTGTTCAAAATTACTGCTATCGTAAATAGAAAGCCTATTTAAGATATGTATTAGCAAGGGATTGTTAAATCTGGTGGTATTTCTGAAACTCCGATGATTTCACCGTCTACTTTGTACTGTGTGATATAAAATATTAAAAAAGAAGAGGAATTTAGTTAAGGGTAAGAATTTATAGGCTTAGTAAACTAACATTCACACATCAAAAAAGGCTTGGATGTTTGCTCAGTAAGACCAACACTAAGTGTAGAAAATAGGGTTTCATTTCTAGCCCTACCAGCTCTTTCGCTCTGTCAAATTCCTTTCCATTTTTCAATATTTTGTCCCACGTGAATCAGTTGTAGACAGTGGAATACTCAGTACATGTATTTCAGAAGTATCGCTAGTTTTGCCATTCTTTGATAATTAATATCTACAATAGGCGTTCCTTTTTCAAAAGCACTCATTTTGAACATTAGCTATCGACCGGAAGTGTACAAAGAAAACATTAAGTTATTCATAAAAACTGCATAAAAAAAGAAAGCAAGTATTGTCTGATTTCAAAGTATGAATATTTTATTTTTAAAATATTTTGAAAAAAAAAACATTCCACAAAAAAAATTTCAATTATTTCTGTGTATTTATATTTATGTATTTATTATTTATATGTAGAGAAAACGTAGATGGTTTGACATGTTTACTTGATTGTCCGTACATTATATTACCTATATGATATTACAAATGTCACCCTTATGGGAATAAAGTAAATAATTTCAAAAGTTACCAGCGAGAATTAGCTATGGTCATAACAATATCCAATATATCAAGATCAATATTGAGAAATAGAGGGAAAGAGAGAGAGGGAAATTTGACTTTAAAGAATCAATCTCATTGAAATCTGTTTTTGTATAATTTGTAATTTTTTTTTAACTTACTGAATTCGTAAATCATATTTACCAAAATTCGCACTGCAAAATGTTTACAATGTTTTGTTTTAAGTTTAGATCATCTTTCTAAAAAAAAAAGGTATATATTATGAAACTTTAATTACAACACAATGATGAAGCATTAAATTAAAAAAAAACACATCAAACAGAACAAATACAATAAAATGTGTATGTAAATGCAGTCAGTCCGTAATCAGTCCCGAAGGTATAGTTGTAAAAAAAAAAAAAAGATCATATGCAAATTAGTCACTATATTTACCTCCAGCTGTCGTGTTCAGAAAACACTCAGCTTTGTGAGGACATTGTGAATATCCACAATCTGAAGGAATTGATGAGCACGTAAATCCCCCAGGACAGTTTGTAAACTGTAAAAAAAAAAATCATTCAAGTTATCTCTGTGTGAATAGATTTCAATTTTCATTTCAGTTTTTACCCTATTTTAACTGAAAAAAGAAAACATTCATATTCAAACAGAATATTTTATGTGTATATTCAACAAATGTTACTGTTCCATTTTGATTAATATCTTAGTTGTATTACATACTTTATTTGCTTTTTTAAAGAATAGTTTTCTACATTTGATATTTGCTTAAAATTATGTACATGTATTTTTATTTTAGTAAATATGAAAATGATTTTAATCCACTATTCAAGATATAAAATTGTGGTTACAATTTGCAAAATCTGTGAACTATGATTGTTGTAAACATTAACATAAAAAATAACAAAATATATTTCAAAAAATTATCATTATTAAGATATAGCTTATCCCAATTCATTCCTACTCTTCAATGTCATAAAACTATTAATCAACAGAATGTTTTTATCAGGTAAAGAATGAAAAAGGAGGGACATCGACTGATCTAAAGAAAGATCGTCTGTAAATTACCAGACAAGGATCAGGAGCACATTGACACCTGGGACAACCAACTGGTAAGTAGCCGAAAGGACACACCTTGGCGGAACAGGTATACAGGCAAGGGATACTTACAGGTGCATCTTGAATGACAGTAGAAAGTGCTTAATGTAATATTCATATTTTATCTTTTAACACTCACTATACCTGACAAATTCCAAAAGTCTTTAGGTAGACACTTAAATTAAAAAAAAAATTGTATTATTTTTTATTAATTACTGAACATTTTAGGTTATCAAAAATCTTTATTTTCACCTAATTCAGTCAATTGCTTTTATTCCTTTGAGCTAAAGCAAAGACTTTGTTTTAAATGGGCAGCTATCAGGGGTTTCAATAGATAATATATCGTACACATGTATACCGAGAGCTTGCTCCATTGTCAAACATCTGATGTTGCATTTTAGCTCACGAGCTGAGTATTCTCAGCTTCGTATTTCTTAAAGTTTCTTAATTGAACATATTTTTAAAGTTCAATAAAATGCGAAGAAAGATATTTAAAGAAACCAAGTAACAGCTTCATTTTTTTTTCATTGCAAGTGATTCGTGTCATAATTTTCAAAGCAAAAATTCTCTGATTTAAATTGTGTTTAATTGCTGCGTCCGATTTGAATTATTTTTAAACAGATAGACTGGCTTGGAAAGGGCTAAATTTGTAAATGAAGCCTTGAACCAATTCAAATCAATCTAATTTTGGAATAACTATATTCATTTATAACGTGAGAACTTTCTCTTCAGTGGACATTATATATCCATCTATAGACACTATACCAATACCTTTCTCTGTTAGCAGTCTTATATAGAAATAAAACACCTTTGATATCAATGACCTCCAATTGCGTGCAGGACATCCGCTGTGTTTATTTCATGGTAATCAATTGCTGACATAATCTTTATCTTTTAAAAGCTTTGATTTTTTTGTAATAAGGATTATGCGTAAATCCTAAAGGAAATCGCTGATACACGACCTGACTGCCGATCGGAGACTTCCTTCAATATTCAGACCAACGTCTGGGAGTAGGAGTGTTTGATTAGAAGCAGATAGGTGCTATTGCCAGCTATGTTTTACAAAGGTTTTTACTGAATATTTTAAATTAAAAAGTTGTATCAATCATATTTCATTTTATTAGTAAATTTAGGAATATTAATTTGGGATGACTTAATTTGGAAGTCTTTCAAATTTATCGGGTTCTTGAATTCTTAACTTATATTTCACCTGTTGGCGAAGAGCCATCTTGCTTATTTTCAAGAGATTGAATGTAGGTTTGAATTTCATTAAAAGAAAATAATGACGAAATCTTTAAATAAGCAAAGGAAAAAAATTATCCATTCATCAAATTTAACTCAGAATGGACGTTTCTTTCATGTTTTAATTTTTGATATTTGCAAAATGGTGAAAAAAGAATTGTTCCTATAAAAATCATTTCTCAAAATAAGTGTCGAAGATAAACATCTACGCTCAAAGACAAATGACAGAAGACAGAAAATAAGTTTTAAAAATATATATGTCATCCACAAAAATCAACAATATAAAATATTATTATACCTTAGGAAAATGATATACAAGTAAACCAATTGAAAATGAATTTTAAAGTTCTTGAGATTTCGACATAAGGATTAATTTTATTCTTTGTATCAAATTTCTTACCTTGTGATAGTAAAAGCCTTGAGAATAAAACGAATGCAATGAATAACTCTGGTACTTTTAAAGATCTAGAAAGAAGTGTTGAATAAATTCCCAAATAAAATAGTGAATCTTTACATAGGCTCAGAATCAAACATTGAGAAAAGATACGATTTATTATTTTTTAAAAAAAAAAAAAAAATCAATTAAATTGTCAAAATACACATTTTAGGGATAATACGTCTATACTTACAGCATTTTTAAAGTGCATGTAACTCAATTACATCGTGTTATGACATGATCTTTTTCAATGCGCAATAAATATCAAGACAAGTGGCGTCTTCTGTTAATCTAAGATAAATCTAACGGCCAGTTGTTTTGACGATCATCAGCCCTCCAGCATTTCTCTCATTTAAATAATTTTGCTTCAATGTTAGCGGGAAAACTGAGAGCAGATTTAAAATTTTGCATAATTATGTAATTTTAACGAAATTTGTTTAATAGAATAAATTTGGGATGGTAATATTGCCCTGCCTTTTTTATAATATTGTACTCTCGGGAGAAATTGCAATGGGACTTGTCGTAATAATCGTTTAATTACTAAGAAGTGCATCTTTTACGGCATAATGTGACAACCTCAGTCATATTCTCCCAAGAGAATAGGGATCGATACTACAGATAGTGAACGACTTAATTTACCCAAACAGTGAACGACTTAATTTATCTAAACAGTACATGGAGTAGAGGAAATTTGAAATCTACGTCAGTTGGAATAAAAGAAGTCAATGAAATATATAAGCATGTGGAAAGTATTTCTTAAGTCATGCATTCTAATTTTAGACTTTTTTAAATGATATGAAAATCATCTTTGTTTGTGAGCATTTTTCTGTATAGCAATTATTGTCTTATTTAATTTATTTCACTGGTGAGTTTTTAAAGTGGAAACATTTTCAAGGAAAAGAGACGCTATGTGCTTGTTTGATGTCATATATATTTCAATAGAATGCCTTTTGATTCAGTTTTATACTATTCATTCCATGAGATCTGAGATTTTAAATTTTAATTATCAGAATCTTGTAAGTTTTGCTTAGAAAAAATGTATTTGTCTGCATACTTTTTCTATCAAATACATACAAAGGTAGCTCATTGAAATTTAAAGTACATGTAGCAAAAAGATAAAATCTAGAACCAAGGTCTTACTTTTGGTAAAAGTGGAATATAACATAACTTATTTGAAGTAAAATCCACAGGGCACAATCGGCCTAAATTGAAACCCGAAAAATGTAACAGCTGAGAAGAACACGTAGTAAAAGAGGGAGAAAGAGATCAAGAAGAGCAAGGCGTTATTTAGGGAAAACTCATATTTTACAACTCTTTCCACCGAAGGGCAGACATAAACACCATTATGTATGCATCGAGATTACATATCTAATTCATGTTTAACATTCTTTAATCGAGAACAATGTTGGTTCTCAAGGAGAATTGCAGATGTTGTTTGAGATTGTTTCGTTAAAAAATACATGTTTTTTCAACTTCTGTTATTATTTGTTTTCTCAGATGGTTAGATGCGAAGACGGATAAGTGAGAAATGAATTTTAAACAAAATTAGATCTACCACAGAGAAAAGAATGAATAATTATTATTATTATGCCTCATCAAATTCTCTGCAAGGCATAAAGACAAATGCATGCATTATACAAAGGTGAGAGTTCAATGGAATTCATCATCTGCAACGTGGTAAAAACATAAGGAGGTAGTTTATGATTCAAATATATCGACATTTTGTAGCCTCTATTTTGGAAGATTTCTGTAATTTAAGTACAAATTAGGAACACGCATATTTGAAGATGAATTAATAAAAGATATTTTAAATATAAACTTTATTTTTTTTCTTAAGACATGCAAAAAATTGCTTAAAGAAATTCGAAAAAAAAATCTACCGTATGCGTTAACTTAAACATTGTGAGGAAACTGTTAAACCATTATAATATTCTTCTCAATAAATTTTCGTTCCATGTAGAATTAAGACTAGTTCAAGAAAAAAAAACTTTCAAAACTTGAGCAATACAAAAGCTGGCGTAATAATTGTTGAATTAAGGTGAAAATTACGAGAAGCAATCAATATCATAATATATGTACTGGGCCTAGTTGACAAAGCGGTAAAACCTACATGTAATCTTTGTTTGTTTGGAATTCCAATTGGTACAAATTGTGGCTGAGTTATTAGAAAACCTCTTTTTGTAATCATATGAGGCAGAATTTATCCAAAAAACTTTTACATGAAAAGAATAAATCTCTGGTCGTGGCCATCTATTCGACATTTAGATATATCGACGACGTTTCATAAACAATATTCATTATTATTCCTACATTGATTCGATATATCCCATTATACTCGATATAAGACATCACAGAGTCTGACATCTGTTTCTTATTTAGATGTTTTACAAGACTTTGATGGGAAAATAATACTATACTTACTGATAATTGTGATGAATTTAATTTTTTTTCTATCGTCACCTTCCCCTTCTCATTATCAACTGCATATGGAGTTTATATCTCTACGTACGAACATTTCTAAAACGAAGCAGGCTACTGACAAATAAGTTGATAATACAACTATATCAACAATCTAGTTTAAAGTCAACACTTCGTCAATTATATAGACGATACAATGACTTTGTTTTCAAATAAAAACTATCGTTAAGTCGTTACGTCATTCAATCAAATTGTTTGGTCATTATTTTCACACTGAACTGTCTCCTGATTTTTCCGTGTACCAGATCATGACAAGGGGCACACAGCGGGTGTAACCGGTCGACAGAAATGCCCACACCTCCATGGAAGGTGATCTCACCTCTGTTTTTAGAGGTCTATGTTTTACCCTTCACAATTTATGTAATTTAATTAATTTTTTGAGAATTATTACTGTTCGTTATCTTCAAATCTCACTCATGAATCCTATAAACCATACGAATTAAACAGTGAATAAACAACGGACCCTGGAAACATCAGAGTTGGGATCAGTTAACCAGAGATCCCCGCTTCGAAACCTAATGTAATGATCAGGTAAAGGTAGTTATCCGTAGTCAAACTTAGTTAACAACAATGGTCTAACAATCAGTTTTATTTGCAAGCAAGACCATTATAACGACAAAAGAATTTTAGAAATTGACTAAAAACGAGATTTTTTAAAACCCCATTATCTACTTATTTGTCAATAGCCTGCCTAGGGTTTGAAATCGATCGTACTGAGAACATACAACTACTGATTATACATTTATGTAAAGCATGAACTATAGTGAATCAACATCTTAAATAGGAATAAAATGTTGGTAAACCCACAACTGGCACACGGTAAAATTGTAACTGTTAAAACTCCAAAGAGCAAAAAAAAAATTATATTCTGATCACTATCCTTGTAAAGAAAAAGGATGAATGATAATGTCAACTTTCGTGTGATATTCAATCACCAGTCATTCTGGTGTGGTATGTCTCATTTTCTTCCTTAGTTGAGAAAAAAAATATGTGAGCACTTTTGTGAGCACTTTTGTAAATCGGTTTCATAAAAGCAACAATATATAATTGACTTACCACATAAACTAGCTTTTAAACTCATTTTAGCTCCCATTTTATACCTAACAAAGATTATGCACCTGCATTATTGTTATTTACTAGTATTAACGCATTAATTGATTGCGTTATCTTCGTTTGCTTGATGTTTTTCATTTGTTTGTTTAATTATTTCATTTGCTTGTTTGTTTTATAATTTACAAACGCACACATCACACTATTTATACGAGGGTTGTTCAAAAATGTCGATGACACACTATATTTTTTTTTCTAAAAAATAACACTGCCAAGCGAGTGCAATATTATTTTATAGACCATAATAAGAAAAAATAAGAAAAAAAAGAACTAGAGAAATGCACAATATTTTAAAGTTATCAGCATAAATTCTTCGAATATTCTAGACATGGACCAGTTTTACGCTAAAGCAGATGCATAATAACGTCATGAATACAAGGTTTTGAATTTTCCTCATATTTCAGTGGTCACTCTCTTTTTGCACTGTCTCCGAGATGGTACACACCGTCTGAAAATCGTTTATGCCACCAAGTCAATGAACTGGAAATATTCCAATTATTCTGGTTGGTTCAATTTTATTTTTCGTCGGTTCTAACAACGTTCCCACCAAACAACAAATAATTTTATGATGCACTCTGTTCCATTCGGATGGACGACATTTTTTTCTTCAAGATCTATAGACTAACGCGTAAGAACAGAGGAAATTTGAACTGAAATCTGTACATTTATCAAGAAAATTTTTGCTTGAAACCTTTAAGGAATTCTCCTCGATGCCACAATTCCATGCGATAATGGCAAATATAACATGCCCGCATTTATCGTGAGGACTCAGTTCTAGCAGAGTGCGTAAAAGACACAACAAAATAATGCCATATACTTATATACTCTACAATGCCTTTCGTTAGAAGAAATGTTAATTAAACTTATGGAAGCGCAACTAACATACGTCATGTGGCGTCACAGGCAAGACTTTCTCGTGCGAATTGACGTTTGAAGAGGCGGACCAAAGTTAAAAGTGTATGCAGTTCAAAGGTTTTCGACGCTATACAACTGCGCACTCCCAAACAGTCACACAGTAAAACATATTAATGACTTTTTTCATGAAAATTATAACCATTAGAAACCAAGACATGTATTACAAAGTTCATAACACTTTGACCTGGCCGTGCGCTTTATCCGCATCCATGTAAGACAGCGATTTTTCCATAAATCTAAATTTAAAAAATCAAAATCAAACTACAGTATTCTGACTTAGATTTCATTATAATTATTTTTGTATACAATATACTTTTACGAGGGTTGTTCAAAAAGTTTGTGGACAGTCATAACTTTTTTATTAAAGTCATATTATATCTAAATTTGGAAGAAATATTTCAACAGTAAATGTAAATGATTTGTATTAAAAAAATTTAAAATATCATGGTTTATTTCAAACTTATTTAGACTTAAAAAATGCGAAAATCGGATCACGGAGCAGGTCAAAATTTCGTAATTTACAATCAAGACACTAAATAATATCTGAGGTCATATCTTCTGTAAAATGAAACAAAATCGGAAAAATTCTACACGTTCAAATTAGGAATTGTATCACCTCTACTAATTACAAACTATGACTTAATATTTTACTTCGTTGAAAAGAAATCAGTTTCAGAAGATAGGTAGTCTTCACTGAAAAAGCCAAAAAAGATGACGTCGTAGAACATCACGGAGCAGCAGTTAATCATACAATTTTGTGTTGTACTCTTGAAAAC